TGATATGTGCATATTGGCACAGAAGGAAAAGTGCTAGATACTGATGTTTACTCGTTCAGTTAATATGTTGAGACATATTGACACTGAATAAAGCGGAAGAGGGGGTGATTTGGATCTAGAAGGGAAAGTTCACGTAGGGCTGGATTTGCACCGATTGCTCCTCCAGTGACACCACAGACCCGCTTCATTTCTGTGCAGCTGATACCCTGTCCAGGCTTATATTTTTCTAACTGACAGTGAGTGGTCTTGCCAAATGCCAGGGCCCATAGTCACATCTGTTTGTCTCTCCTCTGCAGCTTGTCCGAGGCTGCTTGGGAACACATCTTATCCAGGGGGCAGCTTTCACTAGGCCTAATTCTCTGAAAAGCCAAATGCGCGTACAACGAAGAGACAAGTTCCTCTTGTCTTCTCTTTAATATTATTGTGTTTGACACCGCCTGCTTCAGCCCTTGTCAGCCCTTGTCAAAAGACAGGTTCTCAGGCAAGGTGGTCCTCCCTAGTATTTTTTTTGTCTCTGCTTTGTGAGGTTTTTTTAGATTTTTTATAGCTTTGTTTTTTACTTTTTTTTTTCCTCTGGATGAAATGCCCACTTTCCCGCCACAACCCCATTTAAAAGGATGACGGGATACCAAGTGAAGTCTGGCTCAAAAGCAGAACAAAACGAAGATTTCCCTTTGAGCTCTGCTTTCTAATATTTAATAGGAAAATTTTCATAATGAGTACAATGGGAAACAGTGTTTCAAATCATAGCTGACACTGCTTATTAAATCCATAACAAAAAAGCATTATTTCTTTAGCCTTTCCACTTAAAGATATGTGTGTGTTTACCCCTAGTATTTTAAGGTGTTAGTAGTTACAAAGTTACCAGGTTCTGCCTTTTTCCCCTCTTTCCACCCAAGCAAAGGCTCTCACTGACACAAATACACTGATACTAGGGCTGATGGGTAATTTCCTAACAGTGCCTTACAAAAGGACCTTAACATTTTTTAACAAATTTGGGTCTGTTCATAGGACAACGTATGGCCATTCTTCAAAACACCACAGCAAAAACAAACAAACAAAAACCAAAAATTGCCAACCATCACCTTGAATAATAATCCACGTGTTCTGCTTTGCAAAGACAAATGACTCATTTAGGCTGAAGTAACTAGGCTGCCTTTGAGATGTTCATTGATTTTAAATAAAAAAAAAAACTGCTCTGTTTTGCATTAAGAATGACAACTAAATAACGGAGTAGACCTTGCTTAGTGTTATTTGTAGCAACTCCGTTGCACCTGTCTGAAGGAAAGCGGGGAGGCCAGGCTTAAATGAGTAATCTTACTGATCAATAATCCCGATCTCTCAATGTGCTGTAGCAGGTAGTCAATTCTTGATAGAATTACTGAAATACAGCTCGCTGTTTTTCTTATGGCTCAGGTCTTTGGGTTCAGTGTACTGACTTTATTAACTTTAACTTTATTCTCCTTGAATGTTTGTCTCTTTTCCTTTATGTAGCTACCTTGGGGGTGGGGGAGGGGAGTTGAAGGAAAATGTGCTGTTTCACTTGTTCTGTACAGATACCCAAAAGGGAATTTGGGGTCCAGCAGATGAGAAAAAGGCTTAGAAGAGGGAGTTGTTCTTGGAATTTGTTTTTCACCCTCTTTGTAAACAGGCATTCCTAATAAATTTGAACAGTGTAAGAAAAATAATAAAGTTTTAAAGGCGATATGGACTTGGGAGAATGGTTTTTCAAGCAATTAGAAGACTCCGGTTACATACAACTAGTGCAAGAACAATGTAAGTAGAAACTAGCCATCTTAATAGTCACAATGAACAGCTACTGTGTATTCTAATGATCTCTAAAAAGGTATTTCTTCAGAAGAAGTTTCATTGTGTGGCATGGTATTATTCTTAATTATAACAGAGACTGATAACCTGGAAGGAACTTTGTGTCTGGACTACTCACAAACCCGGTTACTCTCCCAACCCCAGCTCGTCAGCATCCCATGAATCTGGCCAGCTTGCTTCTGCTAAATGATCTTTAATGACCCCACAGCAGCTATAAAATCCAAACACCTTCACGGGGCAAATGTGGCACGTATGGCCCATGGTCGAGCCCCAGCGTTCTTCTTCCGTCCTATTATATAGTTCCTTCTGTAAACACTGCTACCCACACATCCTGAACTACTCAAAATTCTCTGAACGGAACAAACTCTTTATCATTTAAAAATGCTTTCAGCAACAGGTATAGAAAACCTGACCAGCAGTGGCTTATTCTAAGAATATTTATTATGTTTTAACAAGAGTATAAGAAGTAGATAGTCCATGGGTTGGTTTTCACAGCTCCATAACAGAAGGGCCACACTCCAGAATTCGGGTTCCCACTTTGTTCCCACTTTCAGAATGTTACTTTCCCCTCCTCAGCTAGTCCTGTTAGCCGCGCCTGTCTGGTACATGCTCTGCGGAAGGTGAACTACTCCAGTCTTTTTTCTAGGGGAGAGGTTTCAAGAGGGATCGGAGATGTGTGAGGATAATGTTGTACAAATAGGTAAAATCATGTCTCTTTTACAGATATAAAATGAATATGCATTTGAGATTTTAACTCATTGATTAATGAGGGAACCAGGCAGATGTTATAATGGGTTCAAAGGAGAAATGAAAGAGGCACAAATGTATATGGAGTAAGGAAGATTGAATGAATGTACCGATGGGTGCAAACTGGCTTTTCCACGGCGGGGAGGATTGTCCTTCCTCAGGACAGAACTCATTTGCATTACTGCAGACAAGAGTTATTTTCCATTGCTTTCAGTTATCTATAACTTAGAGTTGTAAAATAGCTCCCATAGAATCAGAATCAGGTGAGTAGAAGGGTGTACTCTATAGTTTTCCATTGAAGCACCGATTTTTCCCTACAGAGAAAAAAGGTATATTCAGTAAACGCTTAGAATTGTTTTAAGGACTAAATATCATAATCTCTAGTAATATTAAGAAAGTTCATTGTGCCTGCCACTAATTATTTCATATATTTTGACTTAATCTCCCCACTCAGACTTAAAACTCTTCCAATAATAAGAACTGAACTTTCCATTTCGTTGGTATCTTCCACTTCCTTTTTTCTCATTTTCACCATCACTATGGAGTCTTATGCTAACTCAGCAGTAGATACTAATAATTGCTTGCTGAATAAGTGAATGCATTAATTTTTTATAAAAAGGATGTGATACTGGGCTTCCCTGGTGGCACAGTGGTTGAGAGTCCACCTGCCGATGCAGGGGACACGGCTTCGTGCCCCGGTCCGGGAAGATCCCACATGCCGCGGAGCAGCTGGGCCCGTGAGCCATGGCTGCTGAGCCTGTGCGTCCGGAGCCTGTGCTCCGCAACGGGAGAGGCCACAACAGTGAAAGGCCCGCGTATCGCAAAAAAAAACACAAAGGGATGTGACTTTTTAATTTTTTTAATTTCGTTATAGCTTTAAAAATAGATAAATATATATAAATATAAATATGTTTATAAAATAAATATATATTATATATAATATATAAAATAAAATATAAAATAAATATAGCCATTTATTTTTTCTTGGTATTATGAGCCAAAACCACACTTCAAAATCCAATAAAAATGTTATAGTTATACACACTAGTAAACATTTTGACATGTGTGTGTATGTATTTCTGCAAAGTTAATCATTAATTGAATGAACTAATTTTTAAAAATATTTTAATAATTATAAATATTTATAAAAGAGAATCATTATGCACTCAGTACAAAGGGAAGAGAAAACTAGATAAATACCCGTTTGCTCCTACCTATATTGATAGATTTTCACAGTATGCTTCTTTGGTTGTGTATACCCCTTGGGTTAGCCAGCTCATTGACTGTACTTTACTTTGTACGTTATAGATAGAATCTGTATTTAAAGTAATTTTACTCCCCAACTCCAATTTTTCATTATATTTAGACACCTGGGTATAAGTGTGGAAGTATATATTTTGAGTTTTACCTGAATTAGTTTCTTCCTTTTACATTTTTCTTTAATAATCTGGTTGTTTTCTAATTGGGCCCTATAAAACTTCAGTATACTACCACATATCTCTCTGAATTACTAAAAAGTCGTGTTTTCTAGTAAACATGCTTTATTTATTTCTGCTTCATGATCCCCAGGTACTATCCCAACCCCATGTCGGGGATTATAATCCAGGACATGAACATAAGAGTCCTCTATAGCTTGAAAATCTTGAAGACTTTTTACAGCTTTTCCATCTTATTAGTTTGTCTTGATTTCCAATTGAGCCATTTCTAATTTTTCCAAAACTCGTAAATTTAGGAGTCCATGTTAGACAGACAGTCTAATTCTGACTAGTTCCAAGAGTAGCAGAAGGTCTGCTTCTTAGTTCTTATACATCACGTCTTTACAAAGGTAATCCAATATCACGTTAGCTTGTCTAGTATCAATATCAGGATTAATGCATTCAAATTGTTTCCTCACCTAGCTGATAAATAATTAAAGAATTCTAATCTGTGAATTGTCAGGAAGAACATCACTATTTCCTTCTATTTAAAATGTTTTAAGAGAATTCACTGCCACATAATATCCTAAAAGAAATTGATCATACTTTTCCTGTAATAAATGTTGTTCTGACAGTAAAGCATTAGTAACCAATTGATAACCTAGCAACAATATTGTGCTCTCTTTAGATAATTAATCTTAGCTATTTTCCTGTCAGAAGCAACAGTGCTTGATTTTATGTTGAGCCAGAAAGATTGCCAGTTTTGAAAATTAAAAAGCATTCCTTTTATATTATTCATTCCAGTAACAATTTATGATGGCGCATTTAGCTGCTGAACGCTTGTCAACAAACGTAATTATGTTTCGATATAAACAAGATTGGTGGTTTTTACTAGGCTGCTCCATCTTTGTTGAGAATGTTTTGATTTAGGTTCAGATTACACAAGCTGTGTATTTATGTGTCATTTTTTCCCCTCCTTTGTTAATAGTTTTTTCTGATAATTACTTGTAGGCAAACAAGCATGCATTTAGGATCCCTATGCACTGGAGACATCAAACGGAGAAGAAAAGCTGCACCTTTGCCTGGACCTACTACAGCAGGTAAAAGAAAAAGGGCTTGGGGCAAAACACACATACAAAGTTCATAAATCATCAAGAGTAAAATACAGATAACCCTTAATCACTAGCACTGAGGAAGAAGCACAGTTACAAGAAACCAGTAAAGCAAATCATTTGCCTTTGGTGTCAGGATGTATTGTGTGTTCCTTGTGTAGGTTCTTCAGGCCGCCGATCACTAAAGTATTTCCTACACACCTGCAAAACTGTGTGAGGTATTACAGGATACAGATACTTCAAAGGCTGTGTCTTTGGCCTCAAGAAAGTTACAGACTTGTTGGGAAAACAAGGCATAAATTGATGAAAAGGTAAATAACCCCAGAGGAAATTAATAGTAATGAATTCACAAGTACTGAAGCAGCCTCAAAACACAAGGCCCATGTGGTAGTAGATGCCAGCCTGGTCATGAATGTGGCAGTCTGGTTTCTACACCCAGCTCTGCAGAGATCTTTGATTTCGTCTTTCCTTACTTAGACAAGTTAGCATTAGAATAAAAGATCTCTCATCATTTCCACCTCAAACACCATGTCATTCTAATGAGTGTATTATAGGGAGAACCACAGGTTTTGAGCTGAGAGAAGTCACTAGACCAAAGGGGACAGGAAGCCTTCCTGGAAAGGCAAAGACCTGAGCTTGGTAGGGAAGGATAAGAATAAGATTAATATGTATTGCAAGATCTCGTGCAATATACCCTGAGAAAACCATAATTCAAAAAGTGTCATGTACCACAGTGTTCATTGCAGCTCTATTTACAATAGCCAGGACGTGGAAGCAACCTAAGTGTCCATCGACAGATGAATGGATAAAGAAGATGTGGCACATACATACAATGGAATATTAGCCATAAAAAGAAACGAAATTGAGTTATTTCTAGTGAGGTGGATGGACCTAGAGTCTTTCATACAGGGTAAAGTAAGTCAGAAAGAGAAAAACAAATACTGTGTGCTAACACATACATATGGAATCTCAAAAAACAAAAATGGTTCTGAAGAACCTAGGGGGAGGACAGGAATAAAGACGTAGATGTAGAGAATGGACTTGAGGACACAGGGAGGGGGAAGGGTAAGCTGGGACGAAGTGAGAGAGTGGCACTGACGTATATACACTACCAAAGGTAAAATAGATAGCTAGTGGGAAGCAGCTGCATAGCACAGGGAGATCAGCTCGGTGCTTTGTGACCACCTGGAGGGGTGGGGTAGGGAGGGTGGGAGGGAGGGAGACACAAGAGGGAGGGGATATGGGGATATATGTATATGTAGAGCTGATTCACTTTGTTATACAGCAGAAACTAACACAACATTGTAAAGCAATTATACTCCAATAAAGATGTTAAATAGAAAAAAAAAAGATCTCGTGCAAGAGCAGTGGTGCGGGAAGCAGAGATAAAAACCTGTGATAAGGGAGCCGACTAGGCCTTAAATGTGGACACGCGCACAGGAACAAACAATTGACTGTATGGGTTTGTAATTCAGCAAACTGACTATGAGAAAATGCTTTCCATGTAGATCCTTGATCAATTACAAAGTTATTATTATAGTAGTGGCCTCTTGCTTGGGGTCCTTAACCATTCATATTTATAAACTGTCTCTCAGCTTCATTTAGGAATTATTTTATAGGAAGAGTTATGTTCTCCAAGATTAATTACAGAATATGAAAATAAGACTCAGATTCAACAGGAGAGTAAGCAGTGAGAAGGGGAAAATACAGATATAGATAACAGATATGAATAGACAGATATCTTGACATGATGATTTCAAAGGAAGTAAAAGAGGTGAAGCTTAAATTCTGTATTCAGTAGACCTATCCCATAGTTCAGCACTAAAACATTAAAGAATAACTTAAAATTAGAGCGCCCACATACAGTTGTTTCATCCACATAAAGGGCTAAATTATGAACTGTAGTTACAAGTATAGTTACAAGTGTGATATCTGATCTTCATCCTCTAACTTTGTTGAATTTTCAGAATTTGGAAGTAGGAAATACCTGTGTGCAGAATGTGTTTGTGTTCATGTAGAATAATATTTACTACTTACTGGGTGCCTACTATATACCAAAACCTTATTTTATCTTTGCAACAACTTGATGACTTAGGTGTTATTATCATTCACTTTACACCATAAAATGAAGATTCAGACATGTGTTAGGGTCTTCTTAGCTACCTAAGAAGGCAGAATGATTGAAGGGCAAAGGGAGGATTCAAGCCAATGTCTGCATGACTCCTAAACTCATGATCTTTTCATAACATACATATGGCCTTTCTGTAAGAATATGTGTATAAAGACCGTCTTATTCCATGTTTCTTGTGCAATTTTATATATATATATATATCTTTATATATAAATAGACTATTATATAATTTATTTATATTTATATAGACTATTATGTATCTTAAGTGCCATAAAAGATTTATCTAAATTTGCTGTATAGAAATACAGAACTTTCATTACAACACTTCTAATATATCTCTTTATACAGGAACATACAGCCACTTTTAGATCAAATACATGTCATAAGTTCCTCAAATCTTTCATAAGGCAGGTATAGCGTTCTTTAATATTCCCATTCCAGTTGAATGGACCCCTGAATTCTCTTACCTTTCAATGATTCAAACACTGGTGGCAGAAATAGTACAAGAACAATCTTAGGAATGTGACTAAAGCACCTCAGAGCCAGCAATAAGGAAGAGAGACTATCAGGGTCAGGTCCTAACACTCTGAACATATGTGAAGTGAGAAGGAAAATGCATAATGGTTGGGGAGAGCGTAATGTGATTATTTCTACAGGGTGATTTTGATGTTACAACTCAGTAGCGTCAGAGGAAATCATTTTTACAGCGTATAGGTATAAACATTAAACTTCAGCCTAAAACATTCATAAGCCTACACCAGCATACTCCAGTGTTAGTTATATTTCAAAACTTTAATGATTCTCTTAAGACTCAAGATTTTGATTCTATTACTAGATTATTTACCTAAAAGAACATAACTTATAGAAATTTAAGGCATTTTTGTAATTAATCCAATAGTATTGGAGTAGGAGAATTAGGTTACTCATTTTCGATGCATTTTTACAATCCATGCATAACCGTTCCTCTCAAAGAGGAAGAGAATGAGGTTACTTAAAAATCCTTAGTTTTGGGCTTCCCTGGTGGCGCAGTGGTTGAGAGTCCGCCTGCCGGTGCAGGAGACACGGGTTCGTGCCCCGGTCCGGGAAGATCCCACACGCCGCGGAGTGGTTGGGCCCGTGAGCCATGGCCGCTGAGCCTGCGCGTCCGGAGCCTGTGCTCCGCAACGGGAGGGGCCACAACAGTGAGAGGCCCGCGTACTGCAAAAAAAAAAAAAAAAAAAATCCTTAGTTTTAAAAAGAATATCTTCCAATACAAATGAATCAACTCTAAGGTGAAGATTATTCTCCAAATTCAAGTAAGAAATGCTTTTGCATAAATGCACTTTGATAATAAGGTTATGAATCCTAGATCATCTTGTCTCCAAAAATTATAGTTTTCAAATTCTGGAATATAGTTAATCACATAACAAAGAATCTTATCTTTATAAGCTTCCAAAGTTGAGTTAGCATGTAGAGTTATTTTCAAGAAACTATTCTTGCCATTTTGTAGGCCCTTATAGACCTCCCAGAAAACACATTGAATTGTGTTTTCACAGTTCCTTCTACCTTTAGTCAACATTCAATCAAAGCTGGAAAAAGACAGGTGAAGGTAACACTTTCTGATTTGAAATCAGGAATGGGAGTTAAAAGGCTGACAGTCTGAATATTGTTTGATGATCCTCTCTGATTTATATATGACATGTCATCAAATAGCAGATTTAGAAAAGATTTAGCCAAAGTTTATCAGAAGACTATAATTAGGCACTTTATAATCCCAAACTGTGCTTATACAACAATTTAAGATGCTAAACAGTTATATACTGTATCCATAATAAATAATATTTTTAAAGATTTAAAGTTCCCTATGAAATTAATAACCCCAAATCTGATCATCTCTACCTGCTAGTGTATTGAACATTTTACCCACCCTGTTGTAACAATAACACTGAAGCATAATTTAAGTAAGGCTGTAGACTAGCCAGTAGTGTTATCGGTTGAACATTTATTAATTGTGACAGGAACACCGAATTTATTTCAGTGCTTTAGCTTATTTACTGCTCTTTCACCTTCGTATTTTGTATTGACAAAGTAAAATGAATATTGATAAGGTTAGGTATTGATTTTTAAATGTATGGCTTGTTCTCTGCCTCATTCAAAGTCACATGCCAAAAGATAGTGGATGTCTCAGTAGCAAAGAATGTAGATTTACTATTATAAAACTGAGAACTGTTGAAGCAAGAAGGTTTGCCAGCAGAATGCATTTTATAGTTTGAAAAATGTCATCTGTAAAGGTAAAGAAAAGCAGTGAGCAAAATAGGAATGTTATTAACACGTTTTTAAAAGGCCGTCAGCAATGTTGGTTATGGTCTTGTGTTTTTGGTAGAAGTCACAGCTTACTGAGGATTTGATACTAAAAAGACTTAAGTATGTTTATTGAGCTACTGTGGCTACCACATTTTTTTTTTTTTTGCGGTACGTGGGCCTCTCACTGTTGTGGCCTCTCCCGTTGCGGAGCACAGGCTCCAGATGCGCAGGCTCAGCGGCCATGGCTCACGGGCCCAGCCGCTCCGCGGCGTGTGGGATCTTCCCGGACCGGGGCACGAACCCGTGTCCCCTGCATCGGCAGGCGGACTCTCAACCACTGCGCCACCGGGGAAGCCCTACCACATTTTTTAAAAAATGTTTTGTCCACTATGTATTACTAAATTCATTGTTATCCACAATTAGTATTTGCTACTATTTTGCTTTCTATTGAAATATTATCATAGGGAAAGTATTTATCATAAGTAGTAGACTTTCTTCTCTACATTTTAAATTAGAAGTTCGATATCTCAGTGTAGATACTGCTCCAGCATAACTGTGTCTTTGTGGGCATGCA